GTTTCCACCCCGGCCAACACGCACGCCGCCGCGGCTCGCCACTAAACAGGAAGTGGCTCGTAACTAGGCCACACTTGCTCCGATCTGCCCCAAACTCGACATGCCGGATCACAGTCCTGCCCGGAGCAGGTTTGCGCCACACCCCGACGTGCGCAAAGGCCGACAAGCGTAGGGCGAGGACCCATCCATCGCCGCTTGCGGCTTTAATTCAGGTTTGAATTCAGTTTAGACATCAGACTACACTCCCTCTGCTCACTAACTGGACCAACCAGAACCTCCTGGTCCAACCACCATAACAGGGCCCAGGTCGGTAGCTGGACTCTCCTCCTCTGTGGTTCTGGTGGTGGAACCAGTTACCAAACTGGTCCATCTGCTGACTCCCTCTCAGTCTGTGAGAACAGACTAAAGAGCAGCTCTGCGCTCAACACCTCTGCACCGGACAGGCTGGAAACAAACAAACAAACAAACAAACAGACATCCTGTCACCTCCCTACAGCCTGCTGCTGGCATCAGCGCCCTGTCACACTGAACCTGTTCTATGGTTCTGATCCAGGTTGTCTTCTCCTGAGCAGGTCCTTGCTGGTGCTGATCTGCTCTCAGACGGACGTCGCTCTGGATAAAAGCGTCGAAGCAGAAAAGAAAGTTTTAGACAAAATATTTTGTGACTTTCTGAACAAACGTTTCAAAAATAATGAGTTCAATCAACGGCTTCACAGACTAACGAGCTGCAGCGCCGCGTGCTCGTTTCCCAGAACAGAAGGAGGTTTTAATCCACTTTAATCTGATCCAGGAACAGCAGTTACATAAACCTGATCTTTAACTGGTTTAACCTGCCGGCAGAAAGCGAGCTAAACGCAGCTCACAGAGAAACTGCAGAGATTTTACTGTGAATTATCTCCACATTTAATTCACACACGAGTCTAAAAAGCCGACTGCGTTCTTCATGTTTTAGCGTCGAAGCTCCAGAAACACAGTCATCAACTCAAATACTTCAGACTTGTCCAGAATCATTCTTGTTCTCCAGCAGTTAGTGGGTGGAGCTCCTCACAGCCACAAAACCAGAACCAACAGTCAGAACCAGAACAGCTCTGGCTGAAGGTTTCAGTCACTTCGTGACACAGACCCTTTGAGGTCCCACGGAACCACACAGAAGCCCACAGAAATATAATTGTTAAAATTAAAACAAAAAAGGTTTGAAATATTTCACCCAACCTGTAATATAGATCGATAAATAGATAACACCTGGGTCACAACCAGAAGCACAGGAGCAGAACCTTCACAGAACAGATGAACTATGTGGACAGAAACATCAGGTTCTCAGGGAGGATGTCGGGAGAACAAACTTCCTTTTTAGGATGAAGCCTCAACATTGACGTCTACAGAAAACCTCCACACAGACCAACATCTGCTGGTTGGTTCCCACCACCCACTGGAACATCTGATGGGTTCACCAGAACCTTTCAGAACCAGGCTGAGAACGTCAAAACTTTACAGAACCAGGCTGAGAACGTCAAGACAAACGCAGAGAGAGTAAACTTCAGCTATAGAAGAACATCAGAGCAGCTCTTCAGGACCAGTAAAGTCACATTCTGGACAGAGAAGCAGATTTCAGAGGATCCACAGTCACTTACAGGTTCCCCTCCATGAACACCTGGAGGCAGGTGAGTCCTGTGTGTGTGTGTGTGTGTGTGTGTGTGGGGGATTAGCTGCAGTATTTAATCTTCTGTCTCTCAGTGTGTTTTCAGTCAACATGCAGCAGATCTACAGACACACTGACGAACACTTTGAGGTTTATACGACCGTCTTCTCCCCACAAGGTGAGTCAACTCAGCACCACGAAGCAGGTTCAGCTTACATACTAACATTGCTGGTTCTTGAGCCTCTTTCACACAGAGGTCACAGTTCTGTTCATGTTCTGCTCATGTTCCTGCAGTCAGACAGGAACGCTCAGTGCTGGTAGAACCGCAGCAGAACCAGATATGGATCAGTGATGTATGAAACCTAATAAACTAAACTAACAGCAGCTGATCAAAGAGTCCAGATCAGGACCAGCTCGGTTCATCTCTGACTCCTGGAACGTTCCCGTGCAGCTGATGAACAGCTCACCTGTCTGAGGTGAGCAGCTGTTCCAGCTGCTGCTGGTCCATGTTGGACCGCTGATGGTGACACGGTGGCTCAGTGTGTCGCTGCAGCAGCTCTGGTCCGATCCTGCAGGTGTCAAACTGACTCCAGCTCCTCTTAACATCTGGGAGGAAAACAGCTGAACAGTGATGGACAGCATGGCTGGTCTTGAAGCTGTGAGTGTGTGGTTCCGTCACGGCACAGTTTCATGATTGTGGACGTCTTCCTGCTGCTTTGGTGTCATTTTCTACATCAATGATGTGTTTCATGAATATTGGAGCTGAAATGAGGAGAAATCCTGAACTAACTGGACCCAGTTCTGCTGCTTGTGTCTGATGATGTAAAGTTCAGTTCAGACTGTGTTGACAGTTAAACGGAACCGTGACTGGGTCCGACCCGCTCAGACTGTTGATGGGACTTTAACGGATCAGAGAGCAGCTGAACGTTCACACTGCAGCCTTCAGATGAACAGAACCCGGTCCAGGTCAGACCGAGGTTCTGCATCAGAACTAATTCACAGCGCTGAACAGACCGACTCTGATATCGTGCAGAAGGCTACACGTGTGAACAACTTTATATATTTCTCACAAGAAGAACAAACTGTGACCCAAAACAACACGAGAAGTTTAAATGTGATGGACATTGTGGTCGACGTACGTTTATTATATGAGAGTCTGTTTAATTCTCATCACGAGGTTGTGATGAAGAAAAGACTAATTATTTAACGAGTAACAAATCCAGTGATCAAACTGTTTTATGGTGATGTGGACGATTCAGTAAACCCACATCCCGCCGTCGTCTTCTGGCCGTCAGACACTTTCAGGTCATTCTGTCAGCTGCTGAAACTACTGTGGGAGCAAGTGGAGAACAAATGTAAAGCATCAGCTGAACTGATAAACAGACTTCTTGCTGATCTTATGAGGTCAGCATCAGACTGTGAGGCTCCAGCTTCAGGAGGAGTCTCTCTACAAGGCAGACAGAACAATGAAGTGACTTTCAAATCTGTTGCAGCTCTAAAAGCTTTGATCTTCTCATCGTGGTGACATTTTTCCAGGAGAGCTGATTGAGTTCAGTGCTATTTGTGTGGTGCAGTCAGCAACACGTTGTCTGTGGCTACAGCTAGCTTCCACCACCGGGATGGATAGCTGACAGTGTAAAACGTCTTTGAGTTACTCCTTGAGTTAGAAAAGCGCTGAATATGTTATTAATATTATCATCTCACAGCGCTTCACACAGTAGGTGAAGACCTTCTGGATTTAAACAGAACCCTCTGAACAAGCGGTCAGCGACGGAAGGAACCAAAAAAAATAGACCAATAGACATCCAGCTGTGTAGCTCCGTAGGCTAATGTGGCTAACGTTAGCTTTGATGGTGGAACTTAAAACCAAAAGTCCTGCTCTCACACATTCATTCATCTGTCAGTCACAAACAGAGAGCGTCTTCTTCCTGAAGGGGGCGGGGCCCGCAGCAGGGGGCGGGGCCAGCAGCAGCTCATTAAAACTACAGACACTAAAACGGTTCAGAACAGAACCAGAATTAAACAGTCACGGAGGAATGGTGTCATTTTGGGCATTTTTTAAAAAGATAAGCTGCCTTTCAAACCTGTTGGCAGGTTTTAGAGTTTAGTGTTTTAAATGAGCGTGAGCATTCAGGAACCAATCAGCAGCAACCTGACAAACTGATTTGCACATTTCATGCATCACCAACTGAATTAATGTAGGTTTCCATGGTAACATCCAGTTATGCAGATCAGCAGCTTACAGAATAAACCTGAGCTGAGAATCATCAGTATCAGTTACCATGGAGATCGAATCAGTCACCTGAAAACACATTGATCTGTTAGCAGCAATCAGATGATCAATGACTGATCAGAGTATTGATTAGATTGATTTTCTGTCAGTTTGCAGGTCAAGGATGAGAACCAGACAGGTGGGAGCAGAGAAGGTAACACCATCACTCATTCATTCACAACATCATTAATTCAGAACCAGCTTCTAACCTGAACCCGGTTGCAGGTCCTGGTTAGAACTTTGTGGATGCTCTTGGAGAACCTGAGAGTGTTTTAGTTCATCAGTGTTACATCAGTGTGACCTCTAAGTATTTACAGCCTGCTGAGCTCCTTAAAGCTGATTACCACATTTCCCNGTAAACATGGATGGTAACGGTGGAGCGTATCTGCCACTCCCCCGCCGCCACCGATGGAGGAAACAGAAGTGTGAGCGCTAACTAAACTAGCATCAGCAGCCAAGTACTGCCTGTGTGTTCTGGACACTTCCACCCCGTCAGAGGGCAACCCAACCATAACCTCCCCCCGGGGTGGAAGTGTCCCTTCCAGCATCAAGCCGTCCTTGTCTCTCGACCTCCGTCTGGACAATCCGACAGCCTTGCTATCCAACATAGAAGGTTTTACATTTAGTGTCGGATTGTCGAGTCACGACTGTAGTTAGATTTATTCTAGTGTTGGTGACGTCTGTGGACGCTTGTTGGACGTGTGGATTCCAGGTTTTTACATTTTTATAGTGTAAATGTTGCTCTATCTGAGTCCTGCTGACAGAAGACATCAGAGTTCTCTCTCCATGTTGTTGTGGTTCCACAGAGCTGCAGAACTTTATGCTAGCATGAGGCTGTTTGGGGATCAGAGGGTTAAAGATCCACATCTGTCACATTGTTTGTTGTTGTTACCATGGAAATGGGCAGTACAACTCATGACTCTTTCCTGTCCGTCAGTCACGCTCTGGAGTCCTACACCGCCCTGCCCTACCACCAGAGGGCGCCCTGCCCCACCAACCCCATCAACCGCCCCGCCTACCAGGGCAGCAACCCCATCAGCGACGTGTGGTCCCGCCACGCCCTCCACGTGGTCGCCAAGTACATGAAACGGTACGTAAGGCGGTTCCGCCGGAAGAACGGAACCGAGCAGGAACCCTGAGGAGCTTTATTCTGATGCTTACATCAGCTTAATGCAAAACGTGATCAGCTCAAGACTACATAAACCTCTGACATCAGGAGGACCGGACAGGAAATGTGTTCATGAACAACGAGTCTGTGTTGAGGATGAAGTTACTGATTGACTGACTGATCGATTACAGAGCTGTGCGCGACCCGGAGGACCTGGAGGCTCGGTCCAGCATGCACCTGGCCAGTGTGTTCGCCGGAATCGGCTTCGGAAATGCCGGAGTTCATCTGTGGTAAGAAGGAAGCTGCTGACATCTGTGGACCACAGGTGTTGGTCTGTAGACACACCTGGATGACATCGCTCCTTCAGAAGTTCTCCAGTGTCTCTGGTTGAACTGGTTCTTTGTGTGTTCTGTCACTGCAGCCACGGGATGTCGTATCCGATCGCAGGCAACGTGAAGACGCACTCCGCCAAGGGCTACAGCGTGAAGCACCCCCTGGTGGTGAGTCCAGACATGACAACTCATCAGCAGTGTGAACCGAGACAGGTTCCCCACAGAACCGCTGTGGTTCTGGAACATGTTGCTCGTTCAGCATGTCAGTTAGTGTTGTGTCTTCTCAAGTTGTGCCTCCTCAAGTTGTGTCTCCTCATGTTGTGTTTTCAGCCTCATGGACTTTCGGTCGTCCTCACGTCTCCGGCTGTATTCAACTTCACAGCTCCGATGTGTCCAGAGCGCCACCTGGAGGCTGCAGAGATCCTCGGTACCTGAACGCATCACAGACCAACACAACACACTGACACACGTGATGGAAAAAGCAGCTTCAGACTGACACAATGATAAAGTAGAAATTATTTGATCTGAGCCTGTTTACATTTATAATAAAAGTGAAAAATTATTTCATCAGTTAAATCTAAAGTTGGCGCTGAAACTTCCAGCAGCCAGTGAACACCACATTTTAGGTGATTGTAGATGTTTTAGGTGCGCTACGTTCAGGTGCAGTAACAGACTTTGTGCGCTGCCTTCAGGTGCAGACGTGCGGCAGGTGAAGCGGGAGGATGCGGGTGCAGTTGTGGCCGACACACTGCGTCGCTTCCTGTCAGAGCTGCAGGTGGAGGACGGACTGGCAGCTGTTGGATACAGTAAAGATGACATCCCGGCTCTGGTCAAAGGAACCATCCCTCAGGTGAGTCACACTGAGTTTGAACTTTCATTATCAACCTCGTCAGAGCAGGTAACGAGGTTTGAAAAGATGCTTCATAAACAATGTGTCCGTGGTGTGTTCAGGAGCGAGTGACCAAACTGTCTCCAAGAGAGCACAGCGAGGAGGACCTGAGCCGGCTGTTTGAAGCCTCCATGAAGCTGTACTGAGGACGCTCACCTGTCAGGTGGAGCTGCAGCTCAGCAGACGGCCAGCGGGTGGTGCTGTTGGTCTGAAATGAAACTTCACTGATTAAAACCACAGACTGTATAACAGATGGACGTATCAACCGGCCCTGAAAATTGAAGCCAACCTGGAAGTGTCAAAAACCTGCAGCATCACTACGTCCACTAGCTGCTGGCTCCACAAAGCCCTGGCTCCCATAGACTGGAACTGGAAAAGAAGTGATCACAGATCATGAAATACTGCATTCCTACAGCTCAGGATTGTTTTCTTATTAGTTTTCATGGTCAAGTCCAGAGATCAGGTGGCCAATCTGAGAATAAATCATTACTGAATTTTTGATTGACAGTCGGCAGCGACCATACAGACGAAGCGAGCAGAAGGCGGTAAATGTGGGCGGGGCAGAGAGGGCCCGCCTCTCAATCCATCTGGCCAATCGCTGCTCCTATGGCTCCGCCCCCCTCCCACGATTTTTGCGTCACTGGCTCCAAAAATCCAAGATGTCAACCAGGAAGTAGCAAAACCCTGGCTTCATGTTCTCAGAGCAGAAACCAACGGGTGACGTCACGGCAGCTACGTCCATCCGTTATACAGTCTGTGGTTAAAAGCAGTCAATAAAGTGCAGTTCAGACACTTGTGATCAGGCTGCATCACTTTAGATCTTGATTGAAAATTGATTATTTTTATCATTATGTTGAAACTTGTGATCACAAACTGATGATTTGTTTTTAGTCCAGATTTTACCTTTTAAAAGCTGAAATTAACCAGAAGTCACTCGGCTGTATAATAAAAACTGTGGAAATATGAAGTTTGGTGTTTGTCTTGTTGGGTGGGGGGAACAGCTGTGACGACAGACTCAGCGTCCTGATGTTGAACACATTCCCTGAAAGGATCTTCTGCTTTATTCCTGCAGTGTTTCACTTCAGTGTCAGACTGACTCTGAGGTTCAAGGTTCAGAGAAACACAAAAAACTCAGAAAGGAAAATATAAAACAGATTTTGTTCAGCTGAGAATTAAATTTGATCAGGAGACTAAACTTGTGACTGGTAAATGTGTGAAATTAACTTGGAAAGAAAAAAGTTTAGAAGCAGTTTTGTTCATCTGAAGGTGAACCAGGTGTTTTTTTAAAGGCAGATTTTATTCATGTTGAAATAAATAAATGACAGAAATCCGTTCATTAGGGTCCGAGCACTAACGGTGCAAGGACCCTATTGAAACCCTTGTGATTATTAGGGTCCGAGCACCCAAAAGG